TAAATGGTAATGGAGTCTTCCTCGAAAACAGACCTGATGCTCGAGGTCTGTCAAACAAAGTGTGTGCGTGCCTAAATCCATACACTGGCTGTAGACTTAGTGTTCCTGCCAAAAACTCAGAGGAGGGAGTTTCCTTCTGGGACAAGAGTCACTAGGCAACCACTCAGTCATTAGTAAACCAGTGTCAAGGTTTGAGGTCTGGGAGGAAAGAGGTTGTTGGGTTTTGTTATGAAATGCATCTAATAAGCCAAGCGAACGACCCAAGGAGACCGAATCAATCCCGATTTATGGAGCTCCAAATATCAGAGTTAATCCTATAGAATCAGCTGTGAAATGATGAAATCACAGCAGCGAGAGTGCGATTTGACTTCAGGACGTCCGGCTGGGAGACATCAGTCACACATTAGACACTTGCAGATCTGCATCGGATGAGGGGAATTCAGACTGAACCAGCTGCCAAAACAACACTATCACTGCACAGCGTTAAAGCAATTCATTATCATGAAATATATTCTGTAGGCTTTGAAAGTCTGAGCGGACTTGTGCAAAAAGTGACTCTAGATTCATTTTAATTTATTCATTATAAATTTTAATGAATAAATTAATTTTTTTAATTTCAGGTAATGCTTCTTAGAGTTGTCGGTTTTTATGTACGTGCAAAAATTTTAAAGTCATGGATAAATAGAAGGTTTTTAGAGATGAACGTACACTCAAAAAATATTTTTGTTGCTTGTTCAAATTACTTAATTAAAATGAGCTAAACAACACAATTCTTGAGATTTCGTTAGGACAACTTAATTGTTTTATGTTCAATCAACCTAAACTAAAAAAAATTTATAAGTTGACTTTATTGTTTTATTTTTTCCCAACACAAATAGATTGTGTGGAACCCAGCATTTTTTACAGTGTACACTCAAAAAAGGATGTTTGCTGTTTGTTCAAACAACTTATTTAATATAAGCTGAACCAACGCCTGAATGTTTAATTGAGTTTAATTTTGGAACAACCTAATTGTATTAAGTTCACTCCATTAATATTTGTAAAAACTTATAAGGTGAGTTAATTTCCTTCATGTTATCCACTGGGGAAAAAGATGTCTGCAAAATTGTTGCAAACAATTTATATTTGTTGAATTTAAACAAACAAATTAAATTTAGTACTGTTCAACTTAATTTGTTTAAATTCAGCCCAAATAAATTGTTTACAACCACTTAGCCTAAAAAATGTAGTAAATCCAAGGGATCATATTTAAATCATTTTTTTTTCAGTGTCCCAAGAATTTTACAGTATATCGAAACTGGCATGTCCATTCAATCCATAGAAAAGTAAAAAAAATATGAATATATCAGGCTTAATGGACTTGACAGCTTCTAAAATCTGGCATTTATGATATATACACTTTGTTTAAAAACTGCAAAGCTTTTGGATCATTGGATCTACATTATGTGATGTAATACAGATGTTTCACAAACATTAGAATCAGGTTTAATTACTATGAATAACCACCATATGGTTACCAAACATTTTTTACAATAGAAACTCACTAAAATAAGTGTAACAAGCTTATTCATATTTTTTGTTCATCTTGTAAGGCATATTTAATTAAATATTTTATTTGTAATTGTATATCCACTTTCTTTCACTCCAATCGATTTAACCCCCTTTCAAATAAAGAATTTATTATGAGCACTAATTCTTTTAATAAGTACAGGCTAGAATAAGAATGTATTTTCATATTTCACGATGTACAGTACAAATCTGTAAAAGTGAATGCTGAAAGATATTTCACCTATATTTTAAAATTAGAATTATTAAAGTAGACTTTTAATAGTATTTTACTTTCTTTTAGTCTGTTTTATATTGCATTTACTTTGTAAACTACTGATGAAAAAATGTATAGCTATTGAGAAAACATTTGAACAAAATGACAATTGTTCAAAATAACAAAAAAGTGTTTACAATAATTTGTAACAAACACAATACTGTTCTAATTTCATATCAAACAGTTAAAAAAACAAAACATTTGGTGAAATAACGATGAATTATGATGACAACACATGAAAACATTTGTTATTCTGACCAACTGTCACTTTCTGTCAATCAATGAGAAATAGCCAGATTAATGACCAAAATTTAATTAGAAATTAGGAAGAAATGCTACCAAAGATTTATAGAATAAAAAATAATATCCTAAATAATTTATTATGTCTTTATAATATGTTATTTCTTTGAAACTGAAAAGTTAACTATTTAACTCTTTAATTTAGAGTTAACTGCTAACTATAACTTATCATTTTAGTGATAAGTTATAGTAAGTTGTCAAAACACACCTCAAGGCCCCATAATGCAATTCAAAGGTGTAAATAAACATAGAATACCTCTAAATCACAAGAAAACCATTGATTCATATAAGAATAACGCTTGGAAAGAATGCAACTGCTGTAAAAGCGGTGAACAGAAAAGCAATCAAACATATTTGCAATCTCTCTCATATTATAAGCTTGTACACTTCTTAACCAGTTCACTCAGGCAGGGTTATTCTTTATCACAAGTCTGAATTTGAAAACAGCCACTCAGCTTGTACAGTAACCTATGACCTTTATTCAAGCATCTAAGAGCTCGGATGCTTAATCTTCACCCAGACCTTCGACCCTGCTTTCTCTTTATCAAGCCCCCCCTCTCTTGCTCTATATTACCCCCATCCAACCGTCCATGTTGACCCTGTTGGTGATTTATGCAGCTCACAGATGCACAGCTGCGGCAAGAACGAAGGGTAGTATTTACCGTGACTAATACACTCCAGATCTCCAAAAACACATGGAGACACAAGGAGAGAGATATGTGTAAAAGAATAAAAAAAATCAGGCCAAAAACGTTTCGATTCGGACCTTCGTAGAAGTTACAAATCAACTATGATGAAGCGACCACATATAGAGAACGAGAGGCGGTAAATTTAGTTATGCATGAAACGATCGACGGGTTTTATGTGAATTAATGTTTGTTTTTCAGATGACTGACTGATTTGAAGCCCCTAAAAATGAATCCCCATGGGAATTGATCTGTACTTGCAGCACTCGCTTGCTTTTTAAAAATATTTTCCATGTTTGGGGGTTTTAATACTGAAGGAAAAAGATGCAAACTCACTATACATACTCAGAAAAGCCACATTAAATCATGTACACTGTAAAAAGTGATTAGTTACTTGAAGCGAGGAAACTAATTGCCTTAAAAGCAAGTTGACTTCACAAAGATAATGCATTATAACTTGGAACTGTTAAGTTGACTTAATTTTTAGAATTATGCAAATTGTACTTACTTTTTATGTCAACTAATCCTTTTTTACAGTATCAGACTGTTTAAGCACATCTGTTTTCAAATAATTACTGTAATCTTTCCAATATTACATATTTTGTGCTTCATTAGGTCTATAAAATTTACCCTGTATTGAATTTAGAACACACACTGGAGTCTGAAAGAGCAGATTTATTTTACTGAATGTGATTTTGCTACAGAGAAGCTGGGGGGAAAAAACAAATATAATAAAGGTGTATTAAAAAAAGTGATGTTTACTTTAATCTAAAAAAAAGCAAGTGCAATATGCATAATTATAAAACATTAATTCAACTTAACAGAAAGTTACAAAGGGTATACATTTTTTTGTAAAGTCAACTTGTCAGCAGTAAGTTACTTAAAAAATTGTAATTCCATTGCCTTAAATTATTAAATAAATGGGTATGATTATAAAGAAGTATATTAAGTCAACTTAAAAATTCTCAGTTTACTCACTTTTTTAAGTAAAGTCAACTTGTCACTTTTAGGGCAACAGGTTTATTAATTTTTATTAATTTCTTTTATTATTAATTTTTTTTTAGATAAAGTAACTAAACGCTGTAAAAAGTGATTAGCTGCTTAAAGCAAGTAAGCCAATTGCCTTAAAAGCAACATACTGGCTTTACAAAAATAATGTAAGTAAACCCATTGTAACTTGGAACAACTTAACAGTTAAAGACTTCACTTTTATAATTATGCAAATTGTGCAGTTTTATTTAATGATTTTATTAATGTGATGTAAAAGGAAAGTTCATCCAAATTCCGTCATTATTTTCTGTTTACAAACTCTTTCACTTTCTTTCTTCTGTCAAACACAAAAGAAGATATTTTGAGAAATGCTGAAAACATGCAACCATTGACATCCATATTTGTTGTTCCTGCGATAGATGTCATTGGTTACAGGTTCACTTTTTCTTCAAATAAATCTCCTTTAGCTTTTAAATGACTAAAGAAACTCATAAAGGTTTGGAACCACTTGCGGTAGAGTAAATAGTGAGTAAACTTGCATTTTTGGGTTAACTATGTACCTTTTTGAATCTAATCAGACTGTTTATTTGTTTCTGACGCACTTATAACTAATGAATGGTTTAGTTTTTTTTTTTTCTTTCATTAACACGTAAATACCTGTGCATTACTTAAAAGTAAATTAAATCATTGTGTGGGTTGTCAACATACAAACACTGAAATCCTGCATACAGCTGGAACTATTGCCCATGCATAAAAGTCTTATCTGTTGATGTTTTGATTTAAAACATAATATGCTCCATAAAACATTACAACACGATCATATGTTAATTTAAGTTGTTTTAACTTAATTACATTATACAGCATTTAACTTGATATATAAAGTCAGTTTATATGATGTAAGTTGAAAATGCTTGTAAAATTGATTTGGTTCAACTTAAAATTTTAAGGCAGCTGATGACTACTATATGTAGATTTAAAACACTTGACAAAATGCCCAAACAACAACTATGCAACAGCAATAATTGCATGAGTACTCGTCTTTAATATTATGCTATAAAAATGATTTATTAACCCAAAGACATTGGGAAAGCTCTTCATTCAGCTTAGCCTATATAAAAAATACGGAGAAGTTTTTAAGTCCTTTCAACCAAAACATTTTAAATGTCATGTGTCATGCACGCATAACTGACAGAGGACATTTGAAAATTGAAAAAATAAATTTTATTTTCACCATGGCGCTTCACAATTTGTGTATAAAATGTATAAAATCTCTTTTTAAAAAAGAAAACAAGAAAAAAGACATAATTATGCACTGCATTTTAAATGTTCACATCACTATACAAAACACACAGAAAAAAAAACTCGAAATTGTCGCTTGTCTGAATGGCGAGTCTTCCGAAAATCTCTGTTGCGAGGAGTCTCGCTCACCTTTCGCTCTCCCTGAGTGTCACTTCACCTCCCGCAGCCGCTGCTGCCACTGCTACCGGCGAGACATGCGCAGTGAAGCGATTCCCCGCATGCGGACACAGTCAGTCGAGTCCTTTATCTACCAAAGCCAAAAAGAAATAAATATACACATAACATGGTATCTAGACTCTGCAAGCATATAGCATACCTATGTTATTATATCTTTGTTGACGTTTAAAATTTTAAGTCTGACAATTGAAAATGTCTTCTGCAATTTAGGCCTTGATTAAATATCTACAGATATCTACAGGGTAGGCCCACGGTGTGTATGGCATGCAAAGAGTAAACTATTGAGAAGTAGGCTAAATTGCTGAAAAATTAGTTAGGTAGTCTATTAAAGAAAACCAAACGTGAAAAAAAAGTTTTAATTGTAGGCTACTTGGATAAGCCATTATAATCAACATGACTAAAACTAGAAAAAAAGAGCTGCCAGTTTGTGTCAAATGTGTTCAAAACCAAATGTAGTTATATTGTGCTTCATACTTAAGCCGTATCGCATTTCAAGGTTCTTTCGCACTTCTGAGGTGCGCAGGTTTGCGCGTCCTGCCCATCTCCCATCCATAAATGTTTACTGTTGCACGTTATTTTATTGTATGTGTACTTAGCATGTACTTACAGTGTACTTAACTTATAGCCTAACCACAGGTTAGGTTCAATGGTAGGGTTAGAAACAATACCAAGCTATTACCTCTAATTATTAGCCCTGTATATTAGGCCTATGCAACTATATATTTACTATAAAGATAAATGTTTATAAGGCTATTTCTGTTTTTAGACACTGACCAAACAGATTTTATTGCATGTTAGTCTATTTGAATCTTACCCCTTTTCTCTGGCTGCTGAGACAGAAAGTACAGATGGTGCGCGGCTGTTTTCCTCCACTATCCCCCTGCGCGCTGTAAACCGCGCTCACGCAAGGCTGCGCGTCCTCTCCTCCGTCCCCTATCAGGAGCACATTGGCCAGATGTGAGATGTAACTGGAGGCCAAGCGCAGAGTCTCAATCTTTGACAGCTTTCTGTCAACCGGCTCGGTGGGAATTAGAGTCCGTAATGCTGTGAAAGCCGTGTTGACGCTTTGTGTCCTGTCACGTTCCCGCGCGTTTGCTGCGTTCCGCTGCTTCACTATAACCACACTGCCTACGGTGGTCTTGCGCGACATCCGCCGCCGCTTCTCCGCGCTGGGACAGCAGCCGTAGCTCTGCTCCGAGCTGCCGTCGCTCTCGCTGCGGTTTTCCTCATCCTCGGACATCATAGAAACATCCGGGTACGCCAGATGAGTGGCTATGGGCCGCAACATGGCAAATGCCATCACTAAACAAATGTTTGACCTCCGATATGATTGAGAAGAGCTGGATGTGATATCCAAATTGAATCCAAATTGAAATACTGGCTTGTCGTCAAGCACTAGCCACGCAAACACTGCATCGCCGAACTCCCGGTGTGTGTTTCTGAAGGGTTTCAGCAGTCGATCAGCCTCATCACATGTTAAAGATCCTCTTAATGCGCGTCTGTAAAGTCATTCCGTGCGCGAGCAGCTCAAGCAGCTGAAGCGCTCACGGTCTTATAGGACCAGGGAGGAGCGGTCAGTCATATGCAAATAAACACAGCCACATCTCACAGACCTGCCGAATCTGACCTCTGCACATTATTTCATTTTAATAGATAATATTTTGAAAACAATTTTAAATTCAATGAAGTGACAAAGTTGTCTAATATGATAAAGAAATTTGAGCTAAACAAAAAGCAAGAATCATCCACGAATGAAAAGTCTTTTGGACAGGTCCAGTGGCAGCACCATATAGTAACCTTAATAGTTTTGGAAACAAATTAAAGCAACAATGAAATAATCTGGGGGTCTGATATTGTAAATTGCAAACAAACTAAATAGTATTTATAACTTAGCTCATATCAAAAGCTTTTTGTTCTGGACAGGTGTCAGATATATGGGAGTGCCATAGTAATGTTGAAAATACTTTTCTATGTAAATACCAACAATTTATTATAATCATTTTACACTTCCTCTATGTAGGCTACTTACTTATTAACCATTTGCAGTAACTCAAATCACAAACCCTGAACTCAAACTTAACCTTAACCTATGTAGTTAGTTAAAAGTGCTAAAATGTTTCATTTCTTTTTAAAACAAAAACTTTGTATATTTCGATTTATTTTAATCATAATTTTTACTATTATTATATTTCACCCAAAACATAAAACTATGTAATTATTTACTCACCCTTCACTTGTCATAAACGTTTTTGAGTTAGTTTTCTTTCTGCTGACTTCCATAGTATGTTTGTCGTACCATTGGTGTCAACGGTTATCAGTTTCTAACATTCTTCACAATAGGCCTATCTTCTTTTGTGTTCAACAGAAAAAAAGAAACTCATAAAAGACGAGATTGAGGAAATAGTGTGTCCATTTTAATTTTTGAGTGAACTCTAAATTATGTCTCCTTTATTTAAAATGACCATACATACTCATTTAATATATTAAATTAAGCTGTGCAGTTATTTCATGTCAGTCATCACTGTTTCTTGTTACAAAAAAAATGTTTCCCTTTTATTTTTAAGCATCATTTGTGTTTATTACTTCAACTTGCCAAATGGCAACATGATAATATTGCATTTTTATAAGGCTGCAGGTTACTCAGTTTAGTAGTGGTGGTATTAGTTAACGATGTGGAAAGAAATCAAGAAAAACCGACTTTTAATAAAATAGCTGGTGTAATGAACTGCAACGAAAAACCAAACGAAACAGAAGTTGCACCTGCAGGCAGCCGAACTCTCAGTCGGTAATTATTCTCTAAATGTAGTGCTTTTATTGCGCAGCCATTTGAAAGTGAGGCGTTTAAAATAACACAAAGTCTGTAATGAAAGTGCAACAAACACGCTGGCAAACGCACTCCAATGATACACAGAATCAACCTCATGTTTATTTACACAGGCACTTCTGTCTTTATTTACCAAGCATTTGTTTTTTTTAAACAAATATGAAAAAAAATTAAAAACTTTATTTTTAAAATATGTTAATTGATTATAGATCAATCAGAAGTGTAGTATAATTTGACTTTAAATACCAGTCATTGAGATCTGCGCTAGAATGACATGATGTAAATGTGATTTGTTGACCCGCTGCGGTTTGTTTTCATTCAGTGGCTAAACGATCATGAGAGCACGATAAAGAACAGCAGGGGTCTCTCTCTGTCAACTCTTTTCTTTTTCTCACTTTTCTTTATATAATCAACCAATACTTGTCAGTTGTATATTATTTTTATAGTCCCATATTCAGACTGAAATTTGTCTTCTATTTTGTCCCTGGCTTCGAACATTTTGTTGCTTCTGCTTCAAACTCACTCACAAATATAAGTTTTCCCTTTCCTTCTTGTCATAATTGTTGACTGGCCTTGTCATATAAGAAAAATGTGTCTTGCTGCTAAATGATGAGGATTTCTCTAACTGAGTTTGTGTTTCAGTGTGAAGGAATGCAAGAGTTTAAATCAACCATATGTGCTTATGTGACCAAACTCACTAACCTTTGACCTCTCATCTGTGACCTCAGCTTATGGGCAATTTGACCATCCTCATTTGCCCTAATAATCTCCTTGAACCAATATACACAATAAAGCAATGCTTTGTTGGAACAACAAACAAATGAAACAAATTTCACTTGATCTTCCTAAATAGTCTTAAGTTGTGACCTTGGACCACAAAACCAATCATAATTGTGTTTCAAAAATTAAATTGAGATTTAAGCATAATCTGAAAGCTGAATGAATAAACTTTTCATTGATCTATAAATTAATTTATTAGGACAGGGCAATATTTGGTTGAGATATTTAAAAATCTGCAATCTGAGGAAAAAATTATAAAAATTTAAGAAAATCATCTTTAAAGTTTTTTCAAATTAAGTAGTAATGGACATTATTAATCAGAAAATAACTAATGATACCACCTGATGCAGGACTTGCTATTCTGGGATAATCACAACACATTTCTCATCTCACAGATGGACTTCAGCAGTCTTTGTCTTTAGGTATGGTTGTGGGTAAAAGGCTTGTGCTCTAGCATTGGATATCATCTTCAACCCTTAATTTCAATTGTGGATTGCAGACATGATTTCAGTAATACAGTATACAGAGGACTCATTCCATTGGAAAAAATTTTAGTTTCTGGGGTTTATTTCTCAAATAACTGGAAACGAGACCAGCCACTCAACCTCTAAGACTTAATTTATCTATTTTGTTTATTATTATTTACTGATTTCTTAAAACTAAACTATGTTGTCGTTGTTTTACTTATTGACTCATTGTATGGGATTTATCCTGGACAGTACAGAGTGTTGTGTATGTGTTTCTCTTTGATTGTTCATGAAAAATTCATTAAAATATAAATATTTATTTTTTAAAAAGAAATTAACTAGTGATATATCCACAGCAGGAAATTTACAAAATGTTTTTCATGATCTTTACTTAATTCTCTAATGATTTTTTCACATGTTAGAAAAGCGATAATTATCACTTACACAGTGCATTTTTGGCTATTCTAAACCTGTGCAACATAGGACTGTCTTTGTGCTCTAGGGTCACATTTGTTTGTTGTTCCAGTAAAGCATTGTTTAATTATGTAACAACAGATTCACTTCAGCTTTGAGAGTGTGGTCACACTTGACAGGTTTGGTCTTATTAGAACACACTTTAATAAATAATCAAAAACAAATTTAACAGAATTGATGCATGTCTCCATCAGAAAATCTAACATCTATGGAAACTTATAATTCATAAAGATATCTTTACTGTCAAAAAAAAGTTTCTTTTGGATTATGGAATTGTTCTGCACTCTAAAAACGTGTACTTCTTACTAAAATGTTCTATGGCATCGCTGTGAAAACCCCTTTTTGGTTCTTCCTGGCACTAAGTGTGCACTTCCATCCTAATCTTGGTTTGTGCCAAACAAGCATTCTAAAACCTCTACAACAGGGGTGCCCAAACTTTTCTAATGAAGAGCAAAAAACCAAACTTGATTGAGGCTAGTGGACCGAATTAAGGTAAATATGTGTAATTTCGCCATGTGTAATATTGCCATGTGTAATTTCCTTATTTATTAATTCATATTCTTTTCGGGTTAGTCCCTTTATTAATCAGGGGTCGCCACAGTGGAATGAACCACCAACTTATCCAGAATACGTTTTACACAGTGTATGCCCTTCCACCCGCAGCACAGTACTGGGAAACACCCATACACTCTTGCATTCACACACATACACTACAGCCAATTTAGCTTATTAAATTAAACTATAGCACATGTCTTTGGACTGTTGCAGAAACTGGAGCACCCTGAGGAAACCCACGCACATGCGCTAAGTGTTTCTTTTGTAGAGCTGCCCCCCCTCCCTCCTCCCCCATAAAAATTTAATTAGAAATGAATAATAATTTCTAATTATGTTAGCATTATTGCTATAGTACTTTGTTGTTCAGTACAGGTGAATTGGATAGGCTAAATTGTCCGTAGAGTATGAGTGTAAATGAGAGTGTATGGATGTTTCCCAGAGATGGGTTGCAGCTGGAAGGGCATCGGCTGCATGAAACATATGCTGGATAAGTTAGCGGTTCATTCCGCTGTGGCTACCTCAGATTAATAAAGGGACTAAGCCAAAAAGAAAATGAATGAATGAGCGTATTTTGTTGTTGTTGTTAATAATAATGACATTATTGTTACTATTGGTGTTACTATTATTTTTATCATTGTTGTTAGGGTTAGAAATAGATCTGAGATTAATTCAACTTAAGCAACAAGTTGGCAGAAGCTTTTTTTGGGTGAACTTGCAAAGTTTTGCTTGCAAAACTAATCTTTTTAACCTAATGAAGAAAATTTTGATTTAGGTAAACAAGTAAATGTGTTAAATGTAATTGTACAGACATTTTTACAGATTTTTGTAATGTAATGTGTATGTATATAGCACATTTATTATTGTGTATTGTCTCCTCACACCACCACCAATGTGCAGAATCCACTTGGATGAATGCGACGACAGCCACAGGACAACAGCGTTATTGGTGGAGTGGAGAGACAGTGATAGAGCCAATTTGGTGGATGGGGAGGATTGCGAGGCCATGTTTATTAGGAGCCGATGGAAGGACTTTGGCCAGGACACTGGGTTTACATCCATACTCTTTATGAGAAGGGATTTTTAATGACCACAGAGAGTCGAAACCTCGGTTTAACGTCACATGATCTGAAAGACATCACTCGCTGACAGTATGGTGTCCCTTCACTATACTGGGGAATTTGGACTAACATAGACTGCAGGTTGAGCGCTCCCTGCTGGCCTCACTAACATCACTTCCAAAAATACAAGTAATTTCAACTTTTTTAAGTTGAATTTTTTACAGTGTATAGACAAACCCAGCAGTTGAGTTAATATGCATTTATTTATTCAGCTTTCAGATTATGTTTAAATCTTAATTTTGAAAAAAAAGATAA